ATTTGAACAAAAAGTGAGATTTAACACTAAATAAACACTTTCCAGAGCCTCGCCTGAATCCCAAGAAAACCTACGAGTACAAATACGACGGCGAGGTGAACTTCGGACTCGGGATGCCGAACTCGGCCGAGTCTGGCGTGAAAATGTCGTGCATAGTCAAGATCAGAGGCGCGTCTGCACAGTCCTTCGCCCTGCAGGTAGGAACCACAGCAGAGCCCCGTTTAATGTCAGAAACACTGTAAAGCAGCAGTTAATTCTGTATATTATTCATAAAACAAGTGGAATAAGTGGCAGCGCACCATCTGGTGCTCATCATTTAATGTGTTATTTGGAGGTTTATGTAATGAATATTGTTAGAAAGACTGTAAAATACAGTCAAATTCCATGTTTCTGATGCAGTCGTGGAGCCAATAATAAAGAACAACAATAATAATATTAATGAGACATCAGCACAAAGTTTCTGGAGAACAGTTCATGAAGCAACGTTTAGACTTTGGCAGTTATGAATGTAATTGATAACCTCACACTGATGCCATGAGATAGGACGTTTATATATATATTTTTTTATATTCTGTTAAGTAAATTTTGGTTTCTGAAACATATGGAGGTGACTATGTTACGCCCCGGTCTAGGGGAACCTTGAGCATAGCACTGATATTGCCCCACACCAGTCTTTCCACCTCGAAGAAGTCCAGCCACAACGACAAGTCAGGTAACAAAAGATGAGCAGTTTCTTTATTTTTATAACGAGGAGGGGAAACAGGCCAAAACAACAAACAAAACCGATCCTACCTTAATCCTGACTATCAGAAAAGAAAAAGCAAATAAAAGACAACAATCTTAACTACCTAATAACAAAAAACAGGAGAAAAGGTACAAAAGAAAAGGGCCTCTCCCTCCTACTCTGCTCTCTAACTACAAGTTTACCAAGAGTCACCACAAGACTCGGGATCTGTTTTCAAATGATTCTGTAACAAACACACGACTCCTCCTGAGGTGCCGTTGCAAAGGGTCTGCTGGCTTTCTCCGAGGTGGTGAGGCTGGAGGTGAGGAGGACGAGTACAGCTGGCGGGCTGTTTAAATAGTGGGTTGGCCCGCCCTCTGACCAATGGTGTGGCTGGAAATCGGCGCGGCAGCAGGTGAGCCGGCCAACCCGGGGTCACCACCTGCTCCTAATTCATTCGTTCCACCACACTCATGCACACACACACACTCACTCTGAGGACAAACACAAAAACACAAAACACCACAGATGACCCGCACAGGGTCATAACAGACTACAATGTGTTGTACACGGCTGCCTTTGAATCAATGTTCCTGATCCATACTGATGTGACCTCCCTCGTACTTTATCCTTTATCATTTCAGTTATTTTAGTGCATTTTTACATGTTAAACACAGTCATTTCTGGATCACACAGATTAAAGACATGTGATTTATGAAATATGTCTGCAATTCACAGTTGAATTAATTTAAAAGATGAAAAAAAAATTAATAGTTTATGTTTATTACAGGAAACACAAAATAAATTAAGTATTAAACAGTAAACCTCCTATTTTACTGTAATCAATCATACAGCAATTATCTTTTAAAAATATCTCAATAATAATACTAGCTGCCAGTATGTAATTTTACAGGAACATTTTTTAACACTCCACTTAATCCTCGAAATTTCGAAAATCTGCTAAAAAGTTTCATGTCTAAGATTCTTGTTAACGGCACTGAAGCGTTTTGTCCATAAGGTTGCATATTTTTCCCCTAAATATTCGTTGTTTTGTTTTTATTTACATATTTTCTTGAATGTAGCACTAGAAGCAACTTTTCTGTCATGCAGGTTTCAGACTTGGCCATCCACGAGTTCAACGGTTTCCCGGGTAAAGACAGCTTCACCCCGTCTCCGAAGCTCACCCAGAGATTTGCCGCCCATCTCACCAAACCCTTCGTGTTCGACTACGTCGGCGGACACATTCGAGACATCCGGGCCGGCGCCGAGGTTCCTGAAACCGTGGTCAACATCGTGAGAGGAATCCTGGACTTCTTCCAGTTCACCGTGAAAACCACACAGAAGGTCTACGAGCTGGAGGAGGTAAACCGTTCAAGTGTTTGTTCTGCACTCGGAATCGTTTAAAGTTCGTTATCACATGCACACATGGGTTAAAGACAGACTAAAGAGTTTCTTCTGGTCTCAGAGTCGGTACGAAAACAATCTGATCCTGTTCCAGCGAAAAGAAAAGAATGAAAAGAAACCACCGGAATTTAATTTAACAAAGTCACGCAGTAAGTTTCCACCTCGCGTGTTTCCGAAATTCACGACAAACAAGAGTCTCTGCGAAGTTTAAACCCCCGAAAATCCCGGACAGTTTGAGACACGTTAATTCCGTTGTTTATGAACCAAACATATTGAGCTGAGTAAACTTTTTTTTAACTCGGCTCAATTCTTTTGATTCCTTTTGGTTCCCAGAATGTTCTTCTTAAAGACAGGATGATGGGAGATGCTCTAAAAACATACGTTGTATGTTCCCAAAACTGAACGTTGGACTGAGAATGCTCTTCCTCCGTTGTCGTTGTGGGAACATTCTATAACTGTTCCAGAATGTTCCCTCAAGAAAAAGGATTAACGTTCTGTGTTTTTTATTACATCACATTACAGGAAAACATTCTGAGGAACAGNATTCTCTGTGTGTGAGGGCCTAATCTGCTCTTTAATGTCTGTGTTCTGTCTGTTATTCTCTTTATTTTATTGACTTGTATTCAGATTTGTCTTTTTGTGTTTTGCTGTTTTAACTGTGCAACACTTTGGTTCAAATCCTGTAGTTTTTAAATAAAATACGTGACTTGTTGACAAATTAAAGGCAAAACCTGAATCTATTAAGTCCTGCAGTGACGGGAATCAGATGGTTTTGATATATTATATGATGTCATAGGGCTGCAGGGTGGTTTTGGTGGTTAGCATCGTCGCCTCGCAGCTAGAAGGTCGGCGGTTCACGTCCCGGTGAGGAGGTGATAGACTGGTTACCTGTCCAGGTGAACCTGCGACCCCAGTGACGATAAAGGTGTAGCGATGATGGACGGATGGATTGATATTATATTATAAGCTAATATTTGGGTCCCAGACACTGAGAATGATCACAGAGATGCACAGGAGCTGTTGTGGCAGATTTCTGACACCCAACATGTTGGATTTTCCTTTAATTTGTCCCCCGTCTACACGCTGCACTCTTAAAAACAAACTGTTGCTTTTGTATAGATACATATACATATATATATATAGTTCAGTTCAATCTTTTTTTGAAAATACGACGACTTCTAAAGAAATTCTGTTTAACCAACAAACTGCACTGAGTTACGTCGTTCCTCTAGAAAGAAAAATAAGTTGTTCCAAGTAGGTTTTCTACAACATCTGGAAGGGATTATTATTATAAACACGATTCAGGATACAGTGATGGAATATGTCCATAAAGATATACACATAACTTCTTTATTTATCTGTAGAACTTACAAATAGAAGATTTAAAGGCTGCAGACATTTAAAAATACGTCACTAATGTTAAAACTATAAAATAACCCAGAAATCAGTGTGAACTCTAACAAACGGTGGAAGAAAATCAGTTTATTGGTGTTTAAGTCCAACTAAAGTCAACCAAAGACTAAGACGGGTGAGTTTAACGAACTAAACCAACCATCAGATCTCAGGCGTTTCACCTGCTGCCATAAAAATGTGACTTAACGGCACTTTGGTTGATTAATTACGCTTCAAGTCGACTAATGAGCCGTGAAAGAATAAAACCATCTGATTTAAATGAGCCAAACTTCCTAAAACAAGCTCAATAAACACGAGACTCGAGTTTCATTCTGTGAATTCGGCACAAAGACGACGTGTGAAGCTGCTCCTGGTTACTGTTGGATTAATTATGAAGTGATGCAGGTGTAGAGCCGGAGAATCTCTAACAAAGCATCCAGGAAGCTGAGTTGAGTTTATTATAACCTGATGTGTTTATTCAGTTTAAATCAAAGTCGCTCAAGTCAGAAGAACTCATGTTTGAAGGTTTTAAAGGTGTAGAAATGAGCAAACCAACATATTTACATCAGGTCTTACTGTGCAAAGATGTTGACAGTTAAAGGAATCACCAAAACCAAAAACCATCTCCAGCTTAGTCAAACGACGTTAAAGAGCAGGAGGTCGTTAAATACGACCAGCATGAGCTATGTGCAGTAGTTAAAATCATCCTCTGTCAATAATCTGTTCACGAATTCATTGCTTTAGTTTGTATCACAGTTGTTCTACAGACCACCGTGTGGAAGCGTCCAGCTGTTTACTGGAAGG